GCAATCAAACTCATTTATCTTATCTTAATTTTTGGTGTCTTCTATTATTTGTTCAAAAAAGTCAAACTTCACTAATAAATTCAATCATAAAATTTTTTCGTACTGTGTTTGTTTAAGCGGTGATATTCTATTAGCAAATAAACTTAGTCCAGGTATCATTGATCTATGTGGACAAGATTTAGTTGATATTGCTAGTTATTTAACTGATGAACAATGATCAATTACAACAACTTATGTTTAGGATATTATTCATTTAATTGCTTTTGAACAATTTGATAAAATATTTGCTCTTAATCAACAATGTGATGAAATATTAAGGATCTTGCTTTTTCGAAATTTCTGAAGAACGATTCATCAGAAAAATTTGAAATTTTTATGGCAGATAGATCTTGATGAGTACAGAAAAAGTTGTCGTAGACTCATAATTCCCGAATGCTGTCTTGTCTAAAATACTGGGATCACCATGATGAAAAATGGTCCCAATTTTCGTCTCCTTTTTTCCAAGATGGCATGTTCGATGGAGCTGCAAAATTTTTTACAGATGCTAAACCCTGTTTGAGTGAATATTTTTTTAGTTTCTTTTTATTTTTTGTCCTTCGAATAAAAATGCTAAAATATCGGAGATACCCAAAAAGCAAACATGTTTTTTTAAATAAAGCGTTTTTTTTTTGTAAGAATTATCAAAAATTAGTAGAACAGTATGTTTTGAAACACAACAAAATGCCGATCCTAAACAGTGTCTAGTAAATATAAAAAAATTTTCAGTTCGGTCGGACGTACCACGTCGGGGAAACAGGGGTGATTCTGCACGGTTTTTTTTATAAGAAAAATTGTTTTCAGAAAAACGTGAAATAATGCACAGTTCTAGTTATTTTCGTTATGTAAATTTCATTTCTTCTCGTATTTTTTAACGTTTAAAGATATTTTTTAGATCCCAAAATGTACTGAGTAGATACAGACTACTTCAACCTATACAATGACAATAAAAAACAAAAAATGAAAACAAAAAACAACAATTTTGAGTGAACAAAGAGGAAGAATAGCATTAAATTCATTATAGATTTGTTTCTTATTTTTGTTTTTCTGTATTTCATCAGATTAACATAATTATTTTGAGTTTGGAGAATCAGCCAAATGAAACGCATATATTCATTTTTAAATCATTATTATACGAAACCTTGGAAAACGATAAATAATTCAACATAAATTCCTTCATCACTAATATCAAATTCATTAAAATTTCTTATTAATTATCTTTATATGCTACTAATTATATTTCAACATCAACTATATTCATTTATATCAAAAAATCGTATGTTAATTAACTGAAAATAGTTTATTATCATTATCAACAGAAAATAATCGTTCAAAACTACGTTTTATTCAAGATTTATCACTGAATAATATACACTTATCAATTTTTAAAAATATTTTAGAACATCAATTTCAATTGAGTTCAAATAATATTCATTTACTTATACAAATAAATTTACTTTTACCAAAATAAATTCATCAACGTTCGTTTTTATCACAAAATTTACCATCATCCATAACATATTTAGAAATAGATCGACGTACACTTTTACAAATATTATCAACACGAAATATATAAAGAAATACCATTGAATGACTTTTAATTAAGAAATACGAAAAAAAAAAATATTTATTAGAATTTGATTATTATATTCATGAACTCATTGGAACAAATTTAGCAGATATTATTGATATACCTACATGCTCTGTTGTTAAAATAGAACTAGAAAAAGTTTAGATAAAAAAATCATCATATTTGTATATGAATTTTTTTTTTATATATTGTTTGAATTCACATTTACTAAATAAGATATAATGTAAACATCTATGATAGTTATTTTGTTACTATCTTATGAAGTCAATGATATAAAAAGTTTTCTTTCTTCCTTTTAAGATGAATAAAAAAAACATTAGGTAATACCGTACATCGTAACACGTGCTGTGTTTATAATATATCTTGATTACTCTAATCCCGACCTTTCACATGAAACACATAAGTACAGTAACATCTTCCTATTGTGAACAGTTACCTGTCCCACCGAACAATTTTTGTCTAAAATGAACGTCTCGAATGTGGACACATCTATATTCTCAACTGTTTATATTTCTTTTTGTTTCGTCCACAGTGGAAAATCTCTCGAAAAACACCTTCGAAAAATCATCGCGTTGAAAATATTTCTTTGATTTTATGTCGCAAGTTATCATTTTTCTGAAATTTTTGCTTTCTACATTTTTAGCCATAGTATATTTCATTTTCTACACTTTTCTGTTCGAGACTTTTTAGACAATTATTTTTTCATTTGATAGAACTATGCTTGGTCATTATCAACTCAATAGACTAGTCTTCTACGACTGACTATGTGAGAAAACATAAATAAAGCACAAAAAAGGAATGTATGAGCGATGAGTGTAAAGTTTTAAAAACAAGATAAGAAGTCTCATATGTATTTATGCTATGAATGATCTTTTTCATTTATTCTGAAAAGTAACTTTGTCTCCGCTTCTCTCCAAAATGAATGTCATTTGAATATATTCTAAATCAATGGAACAGAAGACCATATTCTCTGTACAAATTGATAGTTTAGAAAAAGTTAGATAAATATTTTAAAAAGATTCGACAAACTTTAACATCTGTAAGGACTACTATAAAACAAAATATATGAAAAACATCTCGAAAGTCAACACTTTGAAAAGGTTTCTGATGTGTCTGCTATAGAAATATTATACTGTAAAAGCTTAATTTCAAGTTATTTTTAGTTCTCCTCGTGTATCAGGCATGTACTATGGTTCATTTTAATATCTTCAATCAATTATTATCAGTGTCAAATAATAATGTACCTCGATATATATACAGAATATCTCAAGAATAAATTTAGGAAAAAACTCGTGATTTTCACCATTCGAAAAAGAAATGTATTGGAAGTGAAAATACACGAAATTTTCTGAACTATATATTGCTCATGCTAGTAAGTTTTTGCTGAAGATTTACACAAGAAATTTTTGAAAAAATTTTTCCAACTAGCTAGGAGTTTTAATTTATGGCATCGACAGCAAAGACATTTCTCTTTCGATATATGCAAGATCATCTCTTGTAACTTATCCCACTCAGGAGTTCTAAACATTTTACTAAAAGCCTTGAACTCACCTAACTGACTACTAATCATTGAAAACTGTATTGAGTTTGGTATATTTGTCTACATTGAGTCCAATAATAATATTTCTTTTTAGTTTCAATATGGTCATAAATTATTAGATGATGATTTTTACAATTTATTCTATACAAAACTTTTAAGATTAGATAGAATATTGTTTTAAGATCTTGTCTTTCCAACATCTAATCGTTTCAAAACGAAAAAGGACATGATCATTCGATTTAGCATAGACAAATACACCAAACTCAATACAATTTACAGTGATCATTGGTGAGTTGATCGATTTCATGGTTTAGAGTAAAACACTTATAATGTCTGAATGAAATAAAGTAGAAGGTTTTCTAATGTGTACATCGACACACAAATGTCTTCATCATAGATTCCCTAAACTGGAACTCATAGTTAGTTAAGAGAGTTTTTTGAAAATGTTCTAATCGAAATCTAGTCATAAAAGGTTTACATCAATTGGTGCTTTTCATATATCTCAGTTGAGGCAAAAGATAAAATCTTAAATTTAATTTTGGAATATGTACAATTCAGTTCTTTACACAAGTGTATTTACCCTAGTTGAAAATAATGGAAATGAAAGTTTTTATGGATCAAACAGTGTGTTTACATAAATTGCATTTACTTCTCACATATTCTTTTTACTATACTTTTTCTAACTTTCATCTGTTATGAACAGGCACTTAAAAAACTAATTATTAGCAATACTATTACATATTAATGCTCTTTCAGAATTATTTGTCTGCATTCGATTACAATCTGTTTGGGGGTAATAAAAGTAACTTTTTTGATATATGTCACTTCGAAACAGGTTTCTTGGCCATGTTCAGATTCTTCTGCAAATTGAATTGTTTTATCACACGTTTTTTGATCTTCAAATAGGAAGAGAACTTCTTTTTCTGAAAAATACTGGAAGAGTGAACTCGGTTTGGCCATAGGTCACATTTTTAAGAGGCTTTTTTTCTAGAACGGAGTTATTGATAGAGAGAATTTTGCGATTCTCAAAGTATTACTTTGCGAAAAACTCTGTCTAATGAAAAGAATGAATGTTAAATATATAGATAATCGACTGAAGCATTCAAGAGCTTTCTAACAGTCTGTTATTTCTACATGCAGAATATTCGTTCGTACAGAAAAAATAATTTAATAAAATAATGTGTGAGAAGTAGATGCAATTTCTAGAATCACACTATGTGACCTATAAAAATTTTCAATGCCATTATTTTCAATTAAGGAAAATACAAGTTTGTAGAGAATCGAAATGCACATTTTCCGAAATTAAATTCAAGATTTCATCTTCTGTCTAATCTGCGATAAATCCAAAAAACTAAATGTTTCAAAACTTTTGTGACATCCAAGATTCCATTGAAAGCATATTTGGAGGCAATTATCTTTCACTTTATACGAAATATATCAGTTATATATTTTAACCATATAGAACTGTATCAAAAAGCTTTTATCCATTAAATCGTTATCAGTCATTAAATAGAACAAATAAACATAATTTTTTTGTTCGCCAACGTTTGTATTGTACTAAGCAAAATCATATTCAAAAACTGCACGATTACAACAAAACAATATAGAAAAAAAAAACTGCCTACAATAATTGACATAAGGATAGATATTTAGAACAAATAAAACGATAAACTAGATTTAATCAAATACAATAACATTTATTTCATGCTACAACTATTACAGTTTTTGAGTTTTTCATTTTTAATGGGCTATTTTGATTGCTTAATAGGAAACAGATTAAATGTATGTTTCCTATGATAATACACCATTAATTATTTAAAGATTTTGAGCTAGAAATAGATGAATGCAATTTAATTATGATATCTATTAAATGATAAAATTCATAAGAAGAAATACTTACCAAGGAAATTACGGAATTCTCCTTTGTCAAGTGTACCATTAAGATTGGAATCAGCAGCAAGGAAAGCAGCATCAGCTCCAGCAGCACCACCAGTTCTGTAGCCAGATGATCTCCATGATGCACCATGACCAGCACCAAGACCACCGGCAACGAGACCGCCTCTTAAACCGCCAGCACCACCTACTGCGAGGCCTGATGATTCGTATAATGATGATGAACTGAGTCCACCACCGATGGCAAGACCAGCATCAACAACTTGAGCACCTCCAGCAACAAGGCCAGCACCACCACCAACTAAACCTGCTGAAGCACCCCATGCTTCTTGACCATATGCGGCAGCACTATAGCCAACATAACCAGGAGCTGACTACAAAAAGAAAAAGACAATTATTTAAGAAATAAAAAACAAGAATACCATGATTAACACGTACGATATCTTCAACAACACCAGCAGCACGAGCTTGGGCAACAAGTGCAGCAGCATCAAGAAGATGAGCACCATATGTTTGAACGTAAGCAGCTGGGCTAGCTTGAACAACACCAGCACGGTGGAATTGACGGAGAACGCGAACTTGAGCTTGGTCATATTGGATGATAACATTTCGTGGAGCTGGATATGGTGGTGGAAGAGCAGCACGTTGAAGAATGGTACGTCGTCTAGCTTGAGGTCCATATTGAATCCAACGTTCAATGATGATGTCACCTAATATGAATGATTAATATGATAAGAAAACTAAAAAAAGAAAAGAAAATCAACTACTAACGTGGTCGTGGTGGAGCAGGTGGAAGACGTTCAAGGATAACTGATCGTGGTGGAACTGGTAAACCGGCCAGACGACGAATAACCGTTTGGGATGCAATCACTGGTGGTGGTATTGGTGGTCTTTCACGAAGAACAAGTGGAGGTGGTGGAGGAAGAGGTGGAGCTACTTGACGAACGCGAAGTGGTGGTGGAACAGCTGGTTGAGGTGGGCGCACTTCTCTGATGATGAGTGGCTGTAAGAAAAAAAGAATATTAGATATTATGAGAAATATTATGAGAAATGATAGAAATCACTTACGCCTGGAGGTGGAACAGGTGGAGGTTGAAGGAATCGAACATGAACGTGTTGTGTATATGTTTGTACACCACCAGGAGCTGGACGACGGATGATATGTGGGTTTGGATCTCGGAAGAGACCTTGAGCATCAGTAGCATAGTTAACTTGATGGATTGCTGCAGCTGATGAATCTAAGGCTGCTCCACCAGAGACGAAAGCAGCATCACCACCAAGTACAGCACCGCCTGAGAGTACTTCAGCACCACCGACAAGACCACCACCGACAAGACCACCGCCAACAAGACCACCGCCAACAGCGTATGACGCA